ATCATTTAACACTGTCATCTGTGTGCCCGGAATGAGCCTAATAATCATAGCCAAGGGCAGCCTGGGCAACAAGAAAGAGGAAGGTACTCACTAGAAAACCAGCAAATAGACTTTACACAGATGCCACCAGCCCCTGGGGATGCAAATACCTCCTAGTTCTAGCGGGGACTTTCTCTGGCTGGGAGGAAGTGTGCCCATGTCGCTCTGAACAAGCAACTGAAGTAAAGTTTTGCTGAAGGAAAGCATACCACGATACGGGCTCCCTGGCATAATCCAAAATGATAATGGGCCTTCACTCACCTCTGAGATAACTCAACAAATGAACAAAGCATTGGAAATGAAGCGGACGCTGCACTCAGCATGGAGACCTCAATCTTCCGGACAAACTCAGAGAATGAACCGCAGCCTAAAAACATTCATTGCCAAGTTGTGTCAAGAGGGCTCCACTGAAAAGGACTCAGGTACTTAGCATAGCACTGCTCCCTGTAAGTGGGATTAAAATAAGTCCCTGTGAAACTGTCTCTGGCAGACCCTTTGCAGCTAATCTGTCTCAGGCCACCAAAGTGCCCCTAGATAGGGAGTTGGCTGTTAAGAATCATGTTGCTGACTTAGGACAAACTCTTAACGTTTTGCATAAGTTTGCTTCCAACAGGGATGCGGTGAATTCCACAGACACCTGCCACCCACTCCTACCTGGCAATCAAGTACTGCTGAGGGAATGGAAGGAAGCCACAATGGGAGAAATGGAAGGGCCCTACCACGTGCTCCTGACCATGGGCACAGCGCTGAAGCTGGCAGGCATCAGTCCTTGGGTCCATCACACGCGAGTGGAAAGACCCTTGCCGGCCGAGAGCCCTGCAGCAGAGGAGTCTCCCGCCACGGCTGGGAAGCAGAACCCCTAAAAGGCCTGAAGTTTCCATTCAGAAAATACCAGGACTTTCTCTTCTAGCGCTCTGTCTTGCGATGCCTCTCATCATTCCTGCTCTTACCTCTCATCTTCCCTTACACTGGACGCAGGACTATGCAGATAACCTACAGCCAGCCTCCTGCAGGGTCTGTGGCCTCTCACCCCTTTCCAGCACCTCAGGGCTGCCTTGGCGGGGGTCGCCCATCCAGGGGAAGGACTGGATTTACTGGCAAACCTTTCTGGGAAATCTAAAATCTCGGACTGGGTCACAAATGACAGGAGTCACCAGGGCAAATGTCTCAGAGTGGCCCATAAACAAAACTTTAGACGGCCCAGGGCACACAAGGCCATTCTCAGTAAACAAAACAAGGGATGATGCAACGGCTTTAACTATGCCCTTGCCGAGTCTGAAGGTGGAT